AGTGTTCTGTGCTGTTCTTTTCCGTGACCCCTATTACTGATCATAGGAATCATTGACATTAGAAAATCTGGGTGCGTGGAAGAATGTCAGCTGACCTGTGACAGGGTGTTGAAAAGAGAGGAAACAAAACAAATTATGTGAACAGCCTTAGAAGCATATGGGCTGAGCTGCGAGATTTTTGATGAGGGAATTAACAGCGTAATCTTACCCTTGCTATTCTAAGTAATAAGCTAGTATTATTTTGCACTCACTAAGCAATGGAATCTCATACAAAAACCTGATACATAGTTTATGTCTATGCCTCTGAAATAGAAAAAAAGTTGCAATCATTTAATTGATAGATTATTGAATGCACAAGGATTCTTTAAGTTTGTATTTGTGATTATATCACTCCAGTGTTAGACAAATGTGAACACCAGTGCAAGAAGTGTGCCATAAAAAGCAGGATGCAAATTTATTTAACCATCAGATAAGCTGTAGTCATTGGCCAGTGCTGAAGCATAGGGGCATATCTATAACTCCTTTGTTCTAAGTTGGTAGTGGAAAAAGAACCCAGAAATTTGGGGATGTCATTCTCTTTTCCCCAAAGCCTCACCCTCATCACCTAGTTTAACACCAAAGTCACTTCCAGCCCTAGGCATGTAAACATTCATCGCTAGCTGACCTTCTGTATCCATCCAAACCCGCCCTTTGCAACCAGGATTGTAGCATTGCACCACCAACGGAGCCCAGATGCAGTCTGAGAGGACTGATTGAGAGGAAATGCCTTGTAGAAGGAATGGGAGGGTGGACATATGACAGCAAGCCTTCCTGATAGGGAAGTTGTGTAACAAGAGGGCCACCAATTCCCAATGGATAAAGTTAACTGTTGAAATACAGTCTACTGAATTAATCTGGTTTATATCGCCAAAGGATTTTCTCATTATTAGTTCAAGATGAACTTAATATACACACAGCAGTTCTCACACAGAGACAAAGACTTGCTAGTGTCTCTTTATACTGTTAGAATGTTTCCAGGCTTTTGGACTGGGTAGCATTAATTATCTGGACCTTCTCTAAGTAGTGTGACAACAATTTTATCCTCTGGTCTGCCTGCCTCGAGTCCTAATTGATCCTGCCAGAACTGCATCTTAACCAACTGGAGTGCTCTGCTTTGACCTGAAGAAGAATAAAATAGCTCAAGGCACAGAAAACAAAACATATTCTGGACTAGAGCTACGAAGGACCCTGGAGTACCCAGAGCAGATGACAGTAGACTATCTAAGTTGTCACATCTATGTTCATCATCAGCTGTCTAGCAACATGTGTCCAAACGCATGACTACACAGAACTGTAAATGGAAACAAGGTACCTTCCTTAGAAAGAGAAGCTTACTAACTGTCCTGGAAGGATTTGCTGGTCTCCTTTCCATAAAATGCATAATTCTGCTCGAAAAGAAGAAAATCTTTCAAATTGCACCTGTGTTGTTGAAAGCTTCATGTTGAAAGCATTCTCATGGCTGTCTGCATTGAATGTTTCAAAGCTGACTGGGCAACTCCTTAGACTCATTAGAGGTTAGGGGTGCAGACTCCGATGTCCTGAAATGAGGTTTTGGAAATCATCAGGGCAGTTTGTTGCCTTTGGGAGACCTAGGTTCCAAGGGCCGAAAGGCCAAAGTGTATCCCACTGAAGTCGCAGCAAACTATGACTTTCATTAAGAGAGATACTAAATGCTGTAAAGCCGGAGCTTGGCCCATCTCTTCATGAAATGCCTCATAAACTCAGTCAGATGTCTTATTAGTGACAAAGGAAGTCCTGCTTTTAGCTTCCAGTTCCTGTTGTAGATGTTGACTGATGGTCTTCATAGAAGGAAAGAGTTGTATTTGTGATGGAGAAAATAAGTCACCCTCAAATGTGAGAAATTTGTTTTTATTGTCCCTTGACCCTTCTTGATTTTCATACTGAGATTATTTTTTCAAGAAGTATTTTGGAGAGAAGACCACAGGGTATTAGATCCATGTTACACATTTGTGCTCTCTAGC